GTTTAGTTCCTAGAATATTATAGATGGTTTTCCATGTGCTTTTCATGTTGCCTTTTGCTTCTTTGAATCTATTCTCATAATATGAAAGTTTTGCTTTTCTTATGATACTGACTTCTTGTAGTTCCAGTTTTTGGGAATTCTTTCCTATCAATTTTATAGATTTCTGTTACTATTTTGTACATAGTGATCATATCACCTCTTTTTCTTCTATCTTCTAGTTTTGACATATTTAATGCCTCTAACCTCTCCTTGTAGCTCTTGCCTTTCAGTTCTGGGTGTGTGTGGTCAGTGGTTGAAGCAGATGTGAGTGATTATGGGTTTAGATATTGTGATAATACAGCGGGGCCTCGACTTATGATGGTAATCCGTTCCCAGAGAAGGATCGTAAGTCAAAATATCGTAAGTCGAAGGGATTTTTCTCATAAGAAGTAAAGGGAATTGAATTAATCCGTTCCCCACCTTCCAAAATATTAACTTACAAATACATTTTATACTGAATACCATGTTTTTTCTAACAACAATACAGTACACATGTTTATCATACCTTTATGGAGGACTCATGATGTGTATGGAAGATGGTGAGGAAGGGGGGGGGGGTGTTAGGAGAAGGAGAGGTGTTACTGTTTGGAAGGGGAGTCCCCTTCCATTATAACATCAGGCAGTGATGACTTCTCTGGGGTACACTCTCTCTTACGTTTTAGTTGCATACCACTAGGACCTGGTTCTGATGCACTGCTTGGTTTGTCTTACTAAAAACCTTTCCAGAGATTTTTGTTTTTCCATATGTTTTAATTTTTGTCTGTAGTGAGGCATCACAGTGTCATTAAAAAGGTTAAGGCAAAGGCCTACTGCACCGTGATTTGGGTGAGTCGTTTCAACAAAAGTTTGCAATTCTTCCCATGCTGCACACATTTTCTTAATTAATGAGGAAGGGACATTCAGTACTGTCTCCTCCTTCCCTGAAGAAATTTCCTCAGCTGTCTCTTGTTGCTGCTCCTTGTGAAGTTCTTCAGTGGTCAGTTCTTCGCTGTGTTCCTCCACCAGCTCGCAACACACAACACTCGCAACACTATGAATGCCACTTCTTTTTCTAAATTTCTCAAACCATCCCCTGCTCGCCTTAAACTCTCTCGCATTTGCATCACTCGTTCCAGGGGTTTTCTTTAAAAGGTCTTCATGCAATTTTCTTGCTTTTTCACAAATGATGGCCTCTGAAACTCTATTACCCGCTAACTCCTTGCTGTGTATTCAAATTAATAATAACTGTTCAACATCCTGAAGTGTTTGTGTTCTTTGTTTCGTGATTATTGATACACCTTTTGCCACTTTAGCACTCATAATGTCCTTTTTCTTAGCCAGTATGATGGATATCATTGACTGAGATTTGTTGTACTCCCTAGCTAGTTCAACAACCCGCACACCATCTTCATATTTACGAATGATCTCTTGTTTTTGCTCTATAGTCATCCTTACATGGTTTTTCATATGTTGAACCTTACCACTGACTTTCTTGGGACCCATGGCATGATATATAATAATTATTTTTATGTCCAAAAAGCAAAAAATCACTACAAAAACTGAATTTCTTATAGGCGTGATCGTCACTAAGCGGGCAGCTGTAGTAAATTGAGGCAGGTCGGCCCGCGTGACCGGGAACCACGCGCTCGGTCGACCCGAACGTGTACCAACAAATATTGTTAGTCGACGACACCATCGTATGTTGAGTCACATTTTTCGATCAAATTTACATCGTAACTCGAAATTATCGTAAGTTGGGGCAATCGTAAATCGAGGTGCCACTGTACAGAAATACAGATAGATGTGTAAACTGAGATCATCAAAACAATAGAAGTAGACTTGGACAATTAAGACTACAGTAAGACAAAAAGTAAGAAAACAAAGCTATGTGAGTTACAGGTGACTTGGGTAAATATTAAAGCATTAGGTACAGGTAAGTAATACAGCAAATATAAATATAACAATAGGGGGATTAGATTAATTTATAATCAGGTAATTAATGGTAATTTACTTAAATTTATCTAGGGGACCACCATCAAAGTTGTCTGTTCATTGGGACTTTTCATAAATGCCAATCTTTTGGAGTTATACATTTTTGTTTCTAAATTTGGCTCATATTTAAAATGCCACATTGACAATTTTTTTTTACAGTAAACTATACTGCTAAACTATATTCTACAATGACACACACATGAATATCATGTGTTATTCTGGCACCATAATAATGGTTGAACCCTTGTTAGAATCTGACCAGATTGTCAATTGGGTTAACCCAATTTTCGAGGGAGCCGGTGGCTGAGTGGACAGAACACTGTACGCGTGATCCTGTGGTCCCGGGTTCAATCCCGGGCGCCGTGGAGAAACAATGGGCAGAGTTTCTTTCACCCTGATGCTCCTGTTACCTAGCAGTAAATGGGTACCTGGGAGTTAGTCAGCTGTCACTGGCTGCTTCCTGGGGGTGGAGGCCTGGTCAAGGACTGGGCCGCGGGGACACTAATGTCCCGAAATCATCTCAAGATAACCCATGTGTTGCGTTTCCACAATGGTCGCCCAAGTTAAAATCGGCGAATGCCCCAAGAATATTGTTGAAAACATCTTGATAATTTATTAAACTAAAAATCCAAAGCTTTTTTTAATGTCAGGTCAGGTTAGGTGGGGACTGCGCCATGGGGACTTCATATCTATGGGGAAATTTTTTAACGTTAAAATCGGCGTTCGGCGATTTTAATTTGGGCGACCATTGTGGAAACACAACACATGGGTTGATCCAATTGCTACTTAGATCAGATTTCATTATGGTTTGGAACAATAACACCAAATGAACAATTGGTGATATTTTATACTTTTATTGTTGATTTGAAAATATGAAAATTTTCAATTTTTAATTTTATATATATTTTGGTTTCTCATGATATGTTGGTGATCATTTAGGAAAAGTTAAGGCATTTCCCATGTAGATTATGCAAAAACAATTTGAAGGCATTTGAGGAAGTTTGAGAAACACGTTACTTGTCTCCTCAAATCCCTAAGCATGCTGAACATACGTTCACTCCACATTTTCTCTTGTGCTATTTACATGTACAAAATCTCGTTCCTGACTGCTAATCCCGAGCTGAAAATCTTTGTTGATAGATGTAATGGAACCTATGAGTACCACACCAGGAATAAATATTTCTGATATCCCCAGAGCCAGACCAAATCTGTGCAAACACTCCATGCAAATAAAAGAACCCAGTCTATGGAACTCGCTCCCTAATGGATTAAAATATTGTCAAAGCCATGCTTTATTCAAAAGTAAAACCAAAAAGTATCTAATTTCATCCTCATAGTTTCCAACCTTGTGCTTTGAGCTCACACTGTAACTCTTACTATATCTTGTGCTACCCACTCGCCCAATTTTATTACTTATGACATGAAACTTCACCAGTATAATAAATACCATCAATTTATAATTTAGTTATTATGTTGAACTCATATTTTGCTACTAATGTACTTTTAAATACTTTTACCTGCACTTTGTTGTTAGATTAAGAACCTGCCCAAAATGCATTGCGTATTAGTGGCTTTGCAAGAATGTAAGAACACCAATGTTGTGTACTCTCATGACATAATGTATCTTCTTGTATATAAATAAAAAATAAATAACAGTAGAAAGAGAAGGTTTTAAGGTTTTTTCATTGCTTATTTCATACCTTCTCCTGGTGTCCAATTTTCTCCCTTCTCACTTAAATTTTTTCATCCTTAACATAATGCTGTTTGATCACTGCCTGACTAAGTTTAAAGCTTTATGCAGTCTGTAGAGAAGTCTGCATGTGCTTGATCAAGCATTTGTTTATGTAGACTTCAGATAATTTATGAATAAAGAAAAAAGTATTATTGCATAATTAGGTTCTTTATTTAGCTGTAGTATGCAGTACTACTTTTTCTCAATACTGATGAGGGATGATGGTATTTGCCACAGGCCAGGCCACATGCCTAACAGCGGCAAAGGTCAGGGAGGAGGAGCATGGGTTCCGGGAATAACCATGCCCCCACTGGGATTCGGTGTGGTGCCTCAGCAGCCTGGTGGCATGATGGCAATGTCGGCACCAGTTGGTGGGCAGCAAGTAGTGCCTCAAGGCTCTCACATGCCAAATTGGCATCAGCAGCAATTTATGCCAGCCAAGGTACAGTATTAGTATTTATATGTTAACACAACTAAAAGTAGGATTAAAAATTAAAATATGTATTGGAGAAGAAAAATAAAATTGACAATTCTTAGACAGCTGTTACTGTAACCCTTTCAAAAGTCATATGCTTTAGCCCTACTGTGTCTCCTAGTGTTTTGCATGCAGGAGATATTTAAGGAAATGCATTACCAAATGACTAAAGAATCAAAAGAAAACAAGCATTGCTGAACCATTATTTTGCTACCAAAGCCTATAATCCTATATTCAGGGTTGCCTCCCAGTTAACATAAAATGACAATCATGCAACTCGCATCTCAAGTAATGTACCATAAAATCACTATTCTCATGGAAAAATGTATAAATGATACAAGTTTGATGTGCCACAGTAATATGATCAATCATCAGAGGCCCAGAAAGAACCTTTGATTTAAACAGATCCACTGTCAGATTAAGCCTACTGTGTTGAACAAATGTCTTTTTGAAAGGGTTAAACAAATGTCAAAATTAAAATCACTATTTGTGCACATTTGTTTCCATGTGTCTTGACCATTGATCTTCATACTAACATCTTTCTTTCCCATATTTTATACACTGTATTTGACATCATCCACATTTCTTTATTTTTACTGTATGATGTAGATTCATTCTTGCTGCATTCTCTGGAGCATTCTTGCTACAGCCATGGCTTTTAGAAGACTATTATTTGCCTTTTTAACTACTGTACTCATTTGTAGACGATGAGTAACAATAACGTGGCTGACAATGTGATGACCAAACCAAACACCAGAAGATGAGGAGACGACGATGTTTTGGTCCGTCCTGGATCATTATCAAGTCGATTGTGATAATGGTCCAGGACAGACCGAAATGTCGTCATTATCTCCTCATCTTCTGGTTCTGTACTATTTTTTTGTTCTGAAACCCTTAAAATTTGTATTGATATTATGCTGTATTGTTTGAATATATTCCCCCCCCCCCTACTGAATACAGAGTTTTCTTCTAACATCTTATGCGTGATATCCAAACCCCTGTAAATATAACTGATAACACAAGCATGGCATATTTTGAAAGAAAAATTTACAACATGCCCATGCATTCAGCTCTGGGTCTAGACTTGTGGAATTCAATATTTATAAAGAAAAAAGAAATGCAAGGTGCCAGTAGCACAGGCACTTGGTATAGTGTGGAGGGAGACGGGGAGATACCAGATGCGCTTAAATCAGCAGACATAGTCCCTCTACACAAGGGAGGGAACAAAGCATTGGCAAAGAATTATAGACCAGTTGCACTAATGTCCCACATAATAAAAGTACAGTATTTGAGTGTTTTCAGGAGTTAGGTCACCAGTTTCAATGAGACCAATGACCTTCACAACCCAAGCCAACATTGATTTAGAGCGGGAAGATTATGCCTCTTACAGCTACTTGACCACTATGACAAAATCACTGAGGCATTGGAAGAAAAACAGAATGCAGATGTGGTTTACACAGAGTTCGCAAAGGCATTCGATAAGTGTGACCATGGAGTGACAGCACACAAAATGAGGTTACTGGGAATAACTGGTAAAGTAGGACTGTGTATACTCAATTTTCTGTTAAACAGAACACAGAGTAACAGTCAACCGTATAAAATCGAGTTCAAGAGCAGTTAAGTTAATAGCTCTGTACCTCAGTGAACAGTCCTTGCACCACTAATAAAGTTTTGCACCTTGCACCATTAATAAAGTTTTTGACTGGGCAGAAGAAAATAACATGATGTTTAACCCTTTAACTGCGTGGCCTATAAATATGACATCCCCCAGTGCGCAGGAAATGAAACCTTGGGAAAAAATTATTTTTTCTTCGGAAAGTGTCAAAAACCCCTCCCTGTATATGGGTATAGCGACGCAAGTTCGAAATTGTACTTACTTTGGCTGCTATGGGGTCCGAAAGGTGGGCCGTGACATCATAATTCCCCGTGCGCCATAGCAGTATGCACCCGGGACCGGTGGGGCGCCCAGGGCGGGGCGCGCGAGTTGCCGCGAATATATTTTTGCACATTTTTTGTGCACAGTTCCAAATACATTTTATTTGTTTTTACATGCTAATCCTATGTATAATGAACACGTACACTATATTATGGCAGTAAAACATCCATACTGTCCGAGGACACTGTGTTACGTGCATGACACTTGTGTACACATATGTTGCACATATTTACCATGTATCATGCTAATTTATGTATATATACAATCTATTTACAGACTATACACTGTCACACACTATATACATTCACCACCAACACATTCAGAACACCACGAGTGTGAGCAGCCATACCCAGCCAGCCCTCCCTCACTCCTCCAACATTGTATTCACCAACATTACTCCTCCAAATCATAGTTATTCACACCAATGTTTCATGTTCATTTATGTATATTTACAACATATGTACACACTCTACACTGTCACACACTATATACATTCACCATCAACACACTCAGAACACCGCGGGTGTGAGCAGCCACACCCAGCCAGCCCTCCCTCACTCCTCCAACTCGCCAACATTGCTCCTCCAAATCATACAGTTATTCACACGAATGTTTCATGTTCATTTATGTATATTTACAACATATGTACACACTCTACACTGCCACACACTATATACATTCACCATCAACACACTCAGAACACTGCGAGTGTGAGCAGCCACACCCAGCCAGCCCTCCCTCACTCCAACATCTTACTCGCTAACATTGCTCCTCCCACCATACTGTTATTGTATTTATTACACAATTTACACATGTTATATATACCTATCTACATGTTTTATTTACCAGAACTATGCAAGTAAGCCAGTATTGTGTCTAAACAGTACAGTGGCCACCATACACTGCATGAAAAATCACACAGCAGACAGCAGACGATGCCACGATTACCACGTCACCTCCCTCACCAAAATAGCTCCTCACAACATACTCCTGGTGCTGTTATTACACTATTCCACACACACTGTATATACCTATGTACATGTGTGTTCCCCATAGCGAACCACGAAGCTAGTATGGTGAGCAAAACAAGAGTTACTGCCACACAGTGAGGCTACCTCAATTCTCTTCCTTCCTCCCTCCCTCACCAAAATTTCTCCTTCCTACGCACAACGCTCATTATAACCACAATCCTGGTCACTAAAATCTGTAAATGAATAATTGACCACAAGTTTATTTTGAAAAGGAACCTAAAAAGTCGTTTGAAGGTTCCTACATGGACGAAATAATGCTGTGGTGCTGTGGCTAGCGCTGCGAACATCGTAAACAGCATTGAATCACTGATATTTGAACATTGTACCCAGTCATTATCACACTCGGGTTCTTCTATAATACTATCATGGCTAAATAAAACAGATTATATATATATATTTTGACAATATTAGGCAATGCTGTGGTCACATGCTGTACAGCAGTGCTGTGCGCTCATGCTGCGAGCGCCAGCCTTGGTTGCTCACTCACTACTGAGGCTCTGACACCCGGCAATGTGGACCATGATTTTTTTTTTAAGATGGCGTCTGTTTACAAGACCCCCTGAGGAAGCTGATGTGAACCCCATGTAGCCGCGAGAGTTTTGAATGGAACGTGAAAAATGAAAACACCCGAGGGCGAGTTGCGCACCCTAGGCCTGGGCCTGCAGGCGCATTACGCAGTTAAAGGGTTAACAATGATAAATTTCAGATACTCGGGTATGGTAAAAATGAGGACATTGAACATAATACAGGGTACAAAATGCAATCAGATTTGCCCATAGTAGGAAGGCAGCATGTCAAGGATTTGGGAATAATGTCTGACGACCTAACGTTTAGGGAGGATAATCAAGCAAATATTGCATCAGCCAGAAAAATGGTAGGATGGATTATGAGAGCTTTCAAATCCAGGGATTACATCACAATGGTTGTATTATTTAAATCACATGTATTGTCTTGTCATGAGTACTGCTCACTACACACTTCCCCCTTCAGAGCAGGAGAGATTGCAGAAATAGAGGGAGTTCAGAGAACATATACTGCATTCATAGACGTGATAAAGCATCTAAATTATTGGGATCGTCTCAAAGCTCTCCAAATGTACTCGCTAGAAAGGAGACGAGAGAGATGTCAAATAATATACACGTGGAAAATACTAGAGGGCCAGGTCCCAAATCAACACAGTAAAATAACAACTTACTGGAGTGAATAATATGGAAGAAAATGCAGAACAGAATCAGTGAAGAGCATGGGTGCCATAAGCACAATCAGAGAACACTATAAACATCAGAGGTTCATGGTTGTTCAATATCTTCCCAGCGAGCTTAAGAAATATTGCCGGAACAACTGTGGACATCTTCAAGAGAAAACTAGATAGTTTTCTTCAAGAAGTGCCGGACCAACCGGGCTGTGGTGGATATGTGGGTCTGCAGGCTGCTCCAAGCAACAGCCTGGTGGACCAAGCTCTCACAAGTCAAGCCTGGTCTTGGGCCGGGCTTGGGAAGTAGAAGAACTCCCAGGACCCCATCAAGCAGGTATCAGGCAAGCATGTAACTAAATTAAGAATAGGAGAGCCAGTGCTCATGCATTGGCATGAGCACAAAGAGTGCTCATCTCAGTTGCAAATGAATAATGTGTGCAGTAGAGGGTTGTAAATCCATTGCATGCAAGATGCAAGTGCCTAAAGGGAAATATTTATAATTAAGAGTTATTCAAATGATTTTATCATTCCTTAGTCTAGGTGCATTTAGTGGACATCTATAACATGCTATATAATCCAAGATATAAACCGAATTGTTTCTGAATAAATTTGTTAAACTTCCAGATGTTTCAACTTGCATAACCCATGTTGCATATAAACCTAAAATACTAAACACATTAAAAATGGCTTATTACAGCTTGCACATTAACTTTAGTAATAATTTTAGTAATTTTAGCCTGAAGAATGTAAATGGCAGGTGAGCATAATTAATCCAATGTACCATACTGTCCTCTGCAATACTGTG